TAGTGCACTTTTTAAAAAATACCTATTTAGGAAATTATTAAATCAGGGGTTGAATTAATTATGACATATGGGAAAAAAACCAAGCACAAGGCTACAAGGACCTTGACAGAGAATATTGATATTTTGTTATGTGCATTTCCCCTTTCATTATTTTAAATGTCTGAATCTATATTTTTATGCTGTTCGAACATTTGCATTACCTTGAAAGTATTGGACGAGAAAAGGTGGAGGTAATTATTTGCAAGCTGCTATTAATGGCTAAGGTGAATGGCGATAAATGTTGAGGGTAAATTAATTCCCCAGTCCTGACTTGTAAAGTCCTGGCCACCACATGAGCCTGGCTCAAAATTGACTCAGGAAGCCAGCAAATTAATCCAGATTCCTTTCCAGTAAAGGCAGCACATAGTGGATCTTTCATTAGAGGGAATAATGATGTCATTTCAGGAATGCACTGCGGAATGAAGCCAGTTTAAAAGAGTGGGCACATGTCCATAGACTTACTTTGGTTCCTCTCCTGACAGAATAACACATATTAGGGATATTGGAGAAAAATAGACAGTGACATTTAAACTGTATAAATGAATGGTTAATGCTACAAAAACACGGGTATTGTAACAACCATTTGCTTATATAATGCACACTGTTGGCTAGGAACATGAAAAATATATATGCAAAATTTAAATCAGACTATTGAGGTTTATAAGAATGGGATTGACTGTGTTTTATGTTTTCCACTCTTAGTAAAGCTGGTATTATATATCTAACATAAAAGGACAATTTGATTACATCAATTTACCTAATTAGCATGTTTATGGAAGGTGGGAGCAGACCAGAGAACCTCCACACAGAAGGTGCCCTAGTCCTAAATTAAGCTCAGGATCCAAGAGCTGTGAGGCAGCAGTCACCAGTCCCACATGCTCCCCCTTTTCATATATGACCTCAGTATTCTGTCTGACAGTGACAGCTAAAAATATCTTAACTATAAGAGTGACTGACTTCATGATGACCACCATAATCGCTATGTGGCACTCAGAGCAGACTCAGTCCACATAAGATACTAGTGTGTTTTGTATTCTAAAATAGCAGTCAGATTCAGCAGAACTCGGGGAGGAATAGGGATGTAGTGGTAGACTTTAGAAGCCCTAGGGCATCAGCACAAACAAATGATTGTGCAGTGTAGGAGGAGCAGAGGCATTTGATTACTTAGCGGAATACAGTGTTCCCATTCTTTCTGCCTGCTAGGGCCTGTGTCTTATTGGACCATGTTACTTCCCTCTTTCATCCGGAGCAGTGCACTTACAGTGAAGTATTAAGATCTCCTGTTGTTTTCCTGACACCCCGTCTTCACTGAGTGCAATATCATCTCTAGTGTGTTCTCTACCTTTAATACTATACCATGACGTAGCACATTTTTAAAAATGTTGTAAATGTAAATAATAACTAACTTGGACGTGTCCAGAAAAGGAGAAGTTCCACCTCCTTATTTCAGTTTTACCAGTTATTTACCACCTTCTTTAGTTCCAGACTATGTACAGTAAATTACTATGTTAATACAGGGATGTGATTTAAAAAGGTAATCAGGCTGCTAAAGTTTTCCAAATATTATGTCCCTGATCCACTTACAGGGACATGAATCCCTTGTAATCATCTATTAAATGTAGCAAAAGGAAGAAAGCGGACGAGGAAGAAAGTATCCCAAAAACATTTTCGATTTGAACATCTCTAACCAAAAAGACAGAACATAAGAAAGGTTACAAACAAAAGGAGACCATTTGGTAATTTTGGCCTATTTATTGATTCTCATGGAGTTGTTTCTTGAAAGAAATGAGGTTATCAACTTCATTCTTCATCAGCGTCATTTCTGGGTTTCTTGTTCCACACTTCTACCACCCTTTGGGTGAACGTGTGCCTCCTGTTTTGTTTTAAAAGCACTTCCACTTGTGCCCTCTGGTTCGTGTCCCACTGTTCATTATGAAAAGATCCTCCGGGTTAACTTTGTCAGTGCCTTTGAGGATTTCGAATACTTGTATCAGGTCTTCTCTTTTCAAGACTAAAAAGGTTCAGCTCCTTCAGCCTGAATTTATTGGGTCAGGAGCTGATTCACTCTCCAGAAACAAATCTTCTGAAATGAATACAGAAGAGTTACATCTACTGGTGATAATCTGGTGAAAAAAAACAAAGTAATCAAGTACAGTAAAGTCCCAAAGCAAATATTACAGCACAACACTAAAGCTGCAGTTGTCAGAGTGTTTGTAGCCACTTTCCAATCAAATGGTCCACTTATTATCAGAATGCTGCTTGTGCCTGTTTAGTGTCTCAGTGAATTGGAACCTACTCTGGTTGATATAGTACAAGGCAATGTACCGTACTGTATGTATTCCCAGTTCATTGCAGAGCGCACAAAAGCAGAGGGACAAAGACACCATTTAAGCTACAGATGTTAATTAAGATAGAGGCACTGATTAAGCTAAACAACATGTCTATGGAGGAAGGACTAAACCAGAGTACCCTGAGAAAATCCCATCCAAGCATGGGGAAAGCATGCAAACTCCACACGGTAGACACACCAGTCCAGAATCAAAATGAGGATCTCATAGCTATGACATAGCAGCCTTTTTCCATTATCTGCATTATAATTATTACCAAAGGCTTAGTTCTTTAGGTCCTGCCTTGTGATTTCAGTAAATGTTTCCAAAACAGCACCATTTCTTGCAAAGCACAGAAAACGAATGCCAATGTAAGGTCACAGTGCTGAAGATTTGCTGAGGCGTATTTCTTATGAAATGCACAAAGCCTTCCAAATAGTTTTCCTTCTGCGATGTTTAAGTGGAAAAAGAGTCATTTCACAAATAAAGCTGTCTTTTCAGCTGTAAAATACATCAATCCACATTAATTGTCTAATATACAGACGTGCAAGCATGTCTGTTGATTGCCATGTTTTTTTTTTTTTTCAGGTGGAAATATGCTTGAGAGTAAAAAAGACTTCACAGTATTTGAAGGAATGTTATAAGGGTGGTCAAAGCAAGCTGTTAAATGTTGGAAAATTGTAGACTATTTTTCAAATTATAGACTTTCATCTGTGATTGTTGACAAAGCGTGACAAACTGGAATTAATAAAATATTAGATATATTTGTAAAAAGCTGACAATGGAAGACAAAGTTGAAATTTATCATAACCACTTTAGTGCATTTTTTAAACTATAATTATAACATTGAAGAGTCTATTGTAAATTACATTGTTTATTATGTTAATCAACACAATGTTGTATAACACATTATATTCAACATCAACAACAATTTAAGTTTTCTATTGTCAATATTAACACTGTTCCATCTGCAGTTACAAATATATATTTTATTGAGTTCATACTGTACGTACATTTTACTTTGGTTTCTGTAATGCAAATTAATTTCTACTATATGTCATCATTTTAGATTTATTTACATAAATGTACTCTATAATATGATTTTATGTTGCAATAAAAGGACATAAGGAAAAAAAGTTGTCATTCAAGGATAAATCTTATTAAATGCATTCAGCTATATAAATTACACTTGTTGGACATCTCAAAAAGAACTGTCATAAACAATATTTTTATTTATATTTGTTTCCTTTTCTCAGAACGATGGCTGACCTGGAAAGGGTTACTTTAAAGAATGTGTAGTTGAAACACAAAATAGAAATGGATTCAGCAGCTGTTTTTATAAAACATCTATTTGTGGTCAGCTGAACACTTCGAATCAGAGTTCTATACTGACTCCTTCTGGCTGATTTAACAAAAAACAAACAAGCAAGTTTTGTTGTGATGTTCACATTGTACATTTTTAAAGTGAAAATGGTTGTGAGGCACAAAAGATTTGCCTTTAGGTTTCATGATATACCTCCGGCTCAGGCACTCATACTAAATATTACTTCATGAGCGAAGTAAGCAAATCAATTGTCAACCAACTTAAAAATAATGTTTAAGATTCGTGTTTCTTCTCTTTGTCTTCCAAAATGATGTCAATATGAAGTCCACCTCACTGCAAAGAGTTTTAAATTTTTTTTTTTCCCTTTTAACACCCATCCATTTTTTAGCTACTTCATCCAGTTCAAGGTCACGGGGGAACCAGAGCCTATCCCTGAAAGCAACAGGCACAAGGTGGGATACACCCTGAACGGGAATCCAGTCAATCACAGGGCAGACAGAGAAACAAACACACGTGCCAGGGCCAGTTTTCCCAAAATCCAATTAACCTACAAGTATATCATTGAACTGTGGGAAGAAACCAGAGGATCCAGGTAAAACCCATGGGAGCATGGGGTGAAGATGCAAACTCCAAACAAAAAGCACCCCAGGTCTGGATTTGAACCCAAGGTCCCAGCGCTGCAAGGCATCAATGCTAAACACTGCACCACCATGTCACCTTCCTCCTAACCTTTAGTACAAAATGCTACAAACAGTCCTTCACTAGGCACCTTTATATAAAAAACTCACAGGGTTTACCACATACCAAAAACCACAGGTCTCTTAAACTTGGACATTTCCAAATGTTAATGCCAATAGTCAATCTGTAAAGGAAATCTCCATTTATTCAAATGAAAGATTTGAATGTGTATTTTGAAATTTAAAATGGGCTTTTCTACTTCATATTTCTCTCCTGAATTGTGCTCCCAGAATAAGTGTTGAAAACTGCCAGGTTATAAAAGCAGACTCAGGCTGAGAGATGGGAGATAAGGTCTGAATATGTAACTTAAACTGGAAGCTTTTACAGCTTGGGGATTTTCTAGATAAGAAAGACTGGGAACTATTTACTAGAAGTTTTTACAAAAAATGTTCAGAATGTTATCTTTCTGCCGATAGTCACTCTTTAGCCAAAAGTTCCTTTTTTAACAGCTCATTTTACAGAATACTGTAAGCAGCATTGTGTCATTTAATACAGAAAAACAAGAAAAAAGCAACAATACAGTTCTGAAGTACAGAAAAATGTACTGTGACAGAGTAACTTCAGCATAGCACTCAAGATATCATTTGGATTTATTTTATTCTTTAAAAAACACATTAGGTCAATTTTCAATATGTCAATCGAATCCTTCAATGTTTTTAATCATAACTGAAAGAACACAGGAACATGTGAATGACTAGAAAAAGATATGGCTTTGGCCTGTTTTGTTTGTTTGATAGTAACTTACCAAAAACTGAATGTATTCAAACACTTAAAAAAAACACATTCAGTCAGCCAACAATGGACTACCAATTTGGACATTTATTAATGAAGTGACAAGTAATAATTACTTTCAATATTCTTTATATTCTTATTCAGCTGACAAGACTTTCATTTATTCCTGATGGATGTGCATGTAAAGAAACTACATTCTTGCAGTAATATTCCCTGTAATTAAAATACTTCAAAATCAACCATAAAAATGTAGCTGTTTTTTAAAACATCATCTAGTCACCTGGCCCCATAACTGTAGCATTTCTGTTGTGAGAAAGTGGGCCTAAGCTACATGAAATTTGTATGTCATTTGGTCATCAAATAATTGTTAAATCAGTCTTATAATTACTCCAAGTCAGTATTATACTAAAGCAGACTTCAAAACATTTTAAAAAACATCCGATTCCATATCTAATTTTCTGCAGTGACCCTTACTGATTTACAAGTACATCTAATTTAAATTTGCCAATTACTACAAAACAGTACCACTAAGAGTACTACTACTACACCTGCTTGGGAGAAAATGAGGCACTTCTGCTCCTCCTCCAATATGCTATTTGTATTTTGTCATGTTGCCATGTCTGCAGTGCCAGGGGCATCAGTGCCACTGGAGGAGTGGCATGTCTTTCACTGGCATCACTGCAAGCCTGGAACTGGAGGAGAGACTGTTTTGCCAATAGAACAGAGGACTCTTGGTGGCTAATCCCAGCTCTGCCCTGGTGGTGCTTAATCAATTGTGTGTGGCTGCCTGGTTTATCTGGGTACAACTGACTACAACTACTGTACTGACCATTATTCCTGCTGCCAGTTAGACAAAGAGTGGACAGCTGATCTCTATTACTCTTTATATGATGCTACTTTAATGTCAGTCTCTTATTTGTATACCTTTAATGTACAAAAAACTCTGTCTTGTCTCGAAGTGTCCATGAATTAGCCACATACAGGCCCCATACTTAGGCCCCAGTAGCCACCCCACTGTGAAGGTGCTCTTCACTGTAGTGTCACTGTTCGTCTTCCTCGCTGTGGCCCCACAGTGCTGCCTCTGATCTTCAGGAACGTGAATCTCTCATTCAAAGTGACTTTTGTCTGCAAAACATAATGGATGATCCACCCATCACTGCAGAGTAAAGAATAACTGTCACATCTGCCGCTAATCGGAACCCTCCTCACAAATGGTCTAGTCCCAGTTAAGCACCAGCTGGAGGCAATCTCCGCAAACACCGCCGATCTATCCCACTAACACTTCATTTATAGGTTTTATAGAGTATACTGCCTTGTGCCAATTGCTTGCTGGGATAGGTTCTCCAACGTGAATATATTTATTATTATATCATAATACACATAATATATAAATATATGTGGCAGGCCAGCAGCAATTAGGGTAGTAGTTTCACCTGACCTAAAACTAGAGGTCATTAGGGCATTGATTGATTGGTACTTCATTTGGTTTAATATAGACATCAGTAGAGAGGTAGGTCTGTAACAATATAGCTTATATTACATGGAATAATAGAAACTATATTATAATATTGTGTTCAGAGACATTTTGGTACTGTATGTAGCAGGTTTTCTTCTGAAAATTAAGTCAGTTATGAGCTCTTTCAAGGTATGCTGAAAGAATAAAGTAAAACTACATTAGAATTATGAAGGCAATAATATTTTAATAATTTCAGTTAATATTGCCTGAAACACTTGTGTCCTGGGGGGCAGGTAAACTGTTATGCAAGAGCCAACAGAAATCAGTGCTACAGTACAATTCAAAGCCTTTTGATCAGAGACTAGATTAGTTTATAATAAGACCTGCTTTTGCAGACCCTAAAATCCTTTTTAAAAAGCTTAAAATCTCAGTGTAATAAATATGTCTCACAGCAGTGACTTTTAAAGGATTTAAAAGGAATGGAAAAATGATTCTTGGTAATTTTCACAGTAACATAATGCAAAGAATTGTTTTCACTACTAAAATATTCCAGCCAACTTGACTCCTTTCAGTGGTTTCTCTTACCTGGTTGGCTATAGCTTTGAAGTTGAATCTCAGGGGGACTCCTTTTGGCTGGGGGGGCGATGCATCAAAATCTTGGGTGGATCTCTTTAACAAAGAAGGCCGCTTAGCCCTGAGATCGGGAAGATTTCGAATGACAAACAGCATTCATTTACTTTAAATTAACTTTAAGCACTATGGGAATAAAATGACCAGAAAATGTCAAGAGATTTAGCTAAATATTCTTGTAAACATATACTGTATACAAGCCAGGAAAATATTGAAAAATACTTTTAATTTTCTGGCACAAAATGTATTATTCTTGCCTACAGTACTTACTGTAAATATATTCTATGTTTTTAAAATGTACTTTCACAATTCGCTTCTTTATGGCCCTTTTTTAACAAAAGGGCTTGAGAGGGATGAAAGCAACCACCCCTTTGTTACTTTATTTGTAATCTTCGATATTACTTCTTGAAAAGTTTGAAAAACTATTATCAACTTAATTTTCCTTAAAGTCTTTCTGTGTCCCCTCTTCACCATGTTGCTACATCTGCAGCTGCCTTTTGTTAATGTCTCTCTCTGCATAGGCACCCTAACACCCAGCCAAGAAGATGAATGATTCATTTTTGCATGAAAATGAAATATTAATTGTACTGTATATGACAAGGAACAAACAAATTGCAAAAACAATTGTATTATTGTATATACTGTAACTCTGCCATGTATGTCGTTACATTTAACACATTCCACTAACCAGCTTAGTTAATTTGCTTGAATGTTTTAACTTGAATTTACCATGAGCAGTACTGTAAATCTGTGTTATTTTTCCCTATTTCAGATGTAGAGCATCAGTTAATCTCATGCCAACTCGCATTTATTAAAATATTTACTTTATGTAATGCTCAATACTTTACAAGTATCACCAGGACCCTTTCCAAAACCTCAGATTACACAGTAACTTAATTCTGTCTCTGCCTTCATTGTAATATGATAAGCAAAATGATTGAACACCTACAGTAAAAACTCCAGGGTCCAGAACTTTTTAATCTACAATTCACCTACTGGTCACAAATGACAATTCTTGTACTTGCTTTCTCCATAGGCCACATGTTTTTATCCTATAGAAAACGCTGTCAAGCACCTGGCTTGTAACTTGCAATTGTCACATAGATCCACGTTTTAATTTAATGTATCTGGTTACAAATCTAAAGAGGAGCAAAGAACCTGTCTGAGTTGTTCTCAGCCAGAGGTCTGGTAAGTGACAAAGCACTATGCCAAAAAAGGACCGAAGGTTTTGAAGTTGTATCAGTAAGTGAAATTTGTGCTCTGTGAGATATGCATGTTTATACTTGGGTATGACACTTGTAATTTCAAACAATGTCTGGATCATCTGCAAGTATGTCATATTTTTACGTTAAAGGCAGTAACATATTGTTTAGAGGACACTACAGAAATGTGCACATCAACGATATTACACTACTGTCTCATATTTTATTATAGAAACAAGACTAATTTACAGAAGTCAGAGCCCACTTACACTGTTCCAGGAGTTGCCACCGAGTTTGGAACTTCCACTGTTAAAATGGAACCAGAAGACTGAGTCTGTCTCCAGCTTTGAGTAGAAGACCAGAACGAAAAAAAAAAACAGAGGTCAGGGTATGTACAACTTTTAGTAATCATCCTCAGTTATATGTTTTCTCTTACCTTCTGCCCTTCTGAAATCCCTCTGCAGATTTTCTATTGTTGTTTCGGCCAATGAACTAAAGGACAAAAGCAAGAGCCACACGTAATTTCAGAAGTTCTGGTCCTAAAACTTTCGATAAAACAATGCCTTGAGCCACGTGTTTATTTCATCCATGTCCTAAAACATTCTATGATTATGCTCATTCATATATGGGATATACAGTAACGTTTGTATGAACCTTAGCACATTCAAATTGGTGAAATTCAACTTTCCTCTTTATGTTGGATTTTCAACAAATAAAAAAGTAATTTAAACTTGATATATTCATATTGTGTAAACTTTGAATTGAACTGCAAAATTACAATGCCTGGATCTAATTAATGTAGTAATGACTGAGAAATCATATGTACAGTACATACAGTATACATTCCTAAATATATGTCTGGGATCTTAATTTATTACCCATGGTGCCACCATATGGTCAAAGAACAGAACTACAGGCTCACATTTTTTTTCAAGACATTAACCATTGGTGTTGAATATTATAATTGTGTATGCTTTCAAAGTAATTATGTTTTAAATTACAATTCCTGTTAGTTTTCTACAGTTTGTTTCAGGTCTTGGGTAAAGTTTGAGATGACATTTTACCCAGTGGGTTTATTGACATGCAAGTCCTACTTTAAAAGGACTGAGTTGTCTTAGGCTGGGGTAATCTAAAATTATAAACTGCTAGCTGTCCTGCACACAAGTTGTACATGCTCATCTCAATACTAATGTGAGAACAAGGATGAGGTCAGTCACTTTAAAATGTACATCATATTGTGAGAATTGATCATTTCTTTACCAGGTTAGAAATTAGAAATGCTGATTAAACTATCCAGAATTAACAAACTATACTATTTCTAACACTTCATTATTTTAGCTAGTTACATAAAAATATAAAAACAAATAATTGTGCTTCATATGAAGAGAAAGCTTTAGTTCTTTTGCTTCTTTTCCTTCTCCTGGACAACTAAGTTGTTTCTTCTTCAACTGGTTCATAGCACATCTTCTTGGAAATGGATAGTGCTAGAAGGTTTTATTAATAATCAGTGTTTTATACATTAAATAATAATTGAATGGAAGCTGCTTATTCCTGGTGAGGGTTCAGGCAACCCAATATCTGTACTTCAAGATTGGTAGGCTTGTACCCTGGATGAACACCAGTCCATCCCAGGGTGCAAACGTGCCTACAGGCACAGAGCCAACCATTAACCTACCTGCCATGTCTTTGAAAACAGAATACCCACATGTATATGGAAAGCACATGTGAACTCCACACAGAATATACCCCAATACAGTATTGAGCACAGGACCACAAAAGCTGTGAGCCAGTAGCACTGACCACCAAGCCACTTTGCTGGAACATGTTAGCACCCATGTCCCAGCTGAATTAGGGAATATAACAGGAGCTACATGTTCACATAACATTTTCTTAAAATTCAAAAATAAAATACACATAAACATCTTCATCATATCAAGGCATTTAATACATATCAGGCTCAGTATTAGATTTTCAACGTAGCCATTTATAGAAACCACTGTATACTGTAATATAAATGTATGGGTCTCCAGGTGTGAGAGAGCCAGCTTACTGTATATTCTTTCATTGTATTGCTGTGAAGCACCAAATACATACCCCTCTGTTGACGTTATGTCTTTCATGCCGCTCTTGTTTCTGTCTGTATTGCAGCTGCTGTTGTCTCTGCCCTCTGTATTGCATTGGGTTGCTGTTATGCAGCCAAGAAAACCAAGAGAAGATTTGCAATCAGAATGATTTCACACAAGGCAGAGTCTCTCTGAAATAGGAATAGTTTAATGGCTGTGAGAGCAGACAGTATACATATATACTATTATATAAAATGTTAATTATATAATATAGTCTGGTAATTAGTATTTTATCTGATGCTGATTCATCACTGTGTTGACTTTGTTTCCACAATCCTTCAGTTAAACTCCCAATTTACCTCAATATTCCATCATCTTTTACTGTCAACCTTTATTTTAGTCCTATCTTCAGAGAACACTATTCTGTTCTCTAGGTTTAGTTTGGCTTTTTTTCACTTTGATTATAGATTGCCCCTGTACTTGGATACTTTCCTGCTGTTTTGAACCTCCTTTTGTTCTCTGCCTATCTGCTCCCCTGTCATTCTCTACTCTCTGTCTGCTACTGAATTCACACCACTGTAATAAATTGCTTCACTCAGTCTGTACTTGCAGATAGCACCATGGGAACTAAACCTGGGACCCCAGTGCTGCAAAGCAGCAATGATTACCACTGTACCACCATACCCCCTACCCCTAGCTGTTTCATCTTATTCTTCTACAAAATACATCTTCAAAAAAGAACAAAATGCTAAACTCCTAAGCAGTGTTATCTTGCAACTCCTAAAGCTAAGTGGGTGTGTGCCTGGTCAGTACCTGGATGGGAGACCTCCTGGGAAAGCTAAGGTTTCTGCTGGAAGAGGTGTTAGTGAGGCCACCAGAGGGCACTCACCCTCTGGACTGTGTGGATCCTAATGCCCTGGTATGCCAACAGGGATACTATACAGTTAAAAAGGCGCAGCCTTTTGGATGAGATGTAAAACTGAGGAGCTAACTCTCCATAGTCATTAAAAAAATCCCCAAAAGAATAATGGTGTTTCCCCCAGTGTCCTGCCCAAATTTCCCTTTGGCCTTTAGAAAACAATCCCCATCTCTGAACTGCTTTCATCACTCTGCTCTCCTCCCCACTCTCAGCTAATGTGTGGTGAGCGTACTGGCACACTATGGCTGCCGTCACATCATCCAGTTGGGGGCTACACATTGGCAGTGGAGGAGGACAGTCCCCATTACTTGTAAAGTGCTTTGAGTGGAGTGTCCAGAACAATGCTACGTAAGTGTAAGCAATTATTATTAATCATAACTACCTCCTAGAAGTTGCTGGAGGACCTCTGAAAGTTTGCCAGAACCTTTTCCGAAATTGCGGTTGGCTTGTCCGTTGTCTAAACCGCTGGCCCCAACTGTTGCTCACAAAAGCTCTAACTGCTTGTTTTCCCTGGTCATGAAAATAAAAAAGAAATACAAATCCATCATAACATTACATTTCAAACATTTGCTCAGCCCAGTTGGTGCTATCTTGCAATATGCATCTTGAATAA